GACATGGGGGGAGAGGGACACGGGGAGAGAGAGGTGGACATGGAGAGAGAGAGGGGGGACACAGGCGGAGAGGGACATGGGGGGAGAGGGACACGGGGGAAGAGGGATATGGGGTGGGGGGCACGGGGAGAGATGGAGGGATGAAATTTGGGTTACACCCACTGTCCTACATACCCCTTAGCTCTCCCATCCATCTCCCCCTTCTCTCTCCCTTCCTCTCTCTCAGTCGCTCTCCCTCTGCCTCTTGAATGAGACACATTTATATATTTATTTTGTCTTCCTCCAACCCCCACCTCCCTCCATCACCTCCCCCCCGCACCCCCCCCCCTTTGTCTCTCTCCCCCTCTCACTCTATCCCTCCCCCCCTCTCTCCCTCTCTCTCAGTCCCGCATTGCCGATAGCTGCTGCAGCTGACCGCGTACCTACACGTGTGTATACATACACGTGTGTGTGTGTGTGTATACATACACGTGTATGTGTGTATACATACACGTGTATGTGTGTGTACATACACGTGTATGTGTGTGTACACGCCTGCGTGTGCACGGGTAGAAGGTACAATTTCGACGCGGCTTGAGGGACGCGGGTGTAACGTAATGAGCGACGGTGCGTAACCATCAGCAGCAGCAGCAACGACATCATCATCAGCAGTAGTCACGTCTCCGCCATCATCAGCAGCAGGAGCGTCATCAGCAGCAGCAGCTTCACCAACAGCGACATCTCCACCAGCATCATCATCATTAGTAGCAGCTTCACTCAGCATTATCAGCAGCAGCAGGAGCGTCATCAGCAGCAGCTTCACCAGCAGCATCAGCATCAGCAGCAAGAGCGTCATCATCAGCAGCAGCAGCAGCTTCACCAGCAGCAGCATAATCATCAGCAGCAGCTTCACCAGCAGCATCATCATCAGCAAGAGCGTCATCATCAGTAGCAGCAGCAGCTTCACCAGCAGCATCATCATCAGCAGCAAGAGCGTCATCATCAGCAGCTTCACCAGCAGCAGCATCATCATCAGCAGCAGCTTCACCAGCAGCATCATCATCAGCAGCAAGAGCGTCATCATCAGCAGCTTCACCAGCAGCAGCATCATCATCAGCAGCAGCTTCACCAGCATCATCATCATCAGCAAGAGCGTCATCATCAGTAGCAGCAGCAGCTTCACCAGCAGCATGATCATCAGCAGCAAGAGCGTCATCATCAGCAGCAGGAGCGACAGCATTCATCATCATCAGCAGTAACAATAGCAGCATCTCCACTAGCAGCAGCGGCAGCACAGTGGACCACCAGCGTCATCATCAGCAGTGTCGTCAGTGTGAAATATAATTTTATTATTTGACTGTGGTCAGCTGAGACTCAGCGGGCATTAGCTCATTATCATAAACAGCAGCAGCAGCATCAGCAGCACGATGGCTCTGCTCCGGACGTGGGTAAAGAGAAGGTAGCGGTCTGGGCACGCTTCCGGATATTCAAGGCGGCAGGCAGAGGTTTGTGTGTGTACACGTGTGTGTGTGTCTATACGTGTGTACACACACACACATGTATGTGTGTACACGCGTGTGTGTACATACGCACGCGTGTACGTGTTTCACGAGGGTATGTGTGTACATGTGTGTAGATAGGTGCTCGCTAACAGCACTTGCCCCTACGGTCTGTTAAGGCTATACGGGGGATCTTTGCCTTTGTAGACATGTATGTGTCTGTGTACACATGTGTGTGTGTGTACATACGTACGCGTGTACGTGTTCACGAGGATGTGTACGTGTTCACACGTGTGTGTGTACGGTTATGTATGGGGAGCGGTGGCGCAGCGGTTAACGCGCTGCCCTGCGAACATTGGGTTCTGGGCCTTCCCCTCGGTCGACTCAGCCTTAAATGTGATGACCTGGTGCTGTGTGTAAACATCAGCAATGGAGAGACAAAGGCGGCCGGGCGCGCCGCTTGTCCACATCGTCCCCTCGCGTGCCGTTCCGACCTTTATAGGCGCTCGCTAACAGCACTTGCCCCAACAGTGTGTTAAGGCTACACGGGGTATCTTTGTCTTTGTTCCCCCCGCGTAAATTCGAGCTTTTCGCATGAATTTGACTCCCAGTATCGACTCCTTCACAGCGGAGTCATCGACTGCAGAGGTACCCGATCGGTGGGGCAAAGCGTGGGTAGCGCCCATCTCTTCCAAGACAATATGGAGTGTCAGCCGTCACGGTTGCTTGGCCATACTTCACCACGCCGGTCAACGTGGGTCGGCGAAGGGAGGGTGGCCCAAGGACCGGTTCGATTATCTCTTCGCTCCCCCACGGTTGGCCGTGGCCGGGAATCCAACTGGGGTGTCTCCGGGCTCAGTGCGCTAACCCACTGCGCCACCGCTCCCACGCGCAGACAACAAGCACACAGATGCCCCGTGTAGCCTTGACACACCCGTTGGGGCAAGTGCCGTTAGCGAGCAGCGCCGATGAAGGCCGGCATGGCACGCGAGGCGATGGTGTGGACAACGACACGCCCGGCCGCCTTTGTCTCTCCATTGCTGACGTTGATTCACCGGCCGAGTCGAGCTCGGGTAGTCTGGCGCGGTTTAGCGAGCGCTGTGCTACCAACCCGGGGAGACCCCCGTTCGATTCACGCTCACGACCAACACCGAGTGACGGTTATCCCGAACCGGTTCGGGAGCCATCCCCTAGGTAGACTCAGCCTTAAATAAGTAGCTTGTTTCGACATTCACCGTCTCGTCAGCAGAGCCAGGCCGGGCTTGAATCAACGCTGGTGAACTGACCAGATGTGTGTGGAGTAGTAACACATCAGCACTGGGGATACAAAGGCGGCTGGGCGTGGTCGTTTGGATTTTTCTCCGAGTCCTCCGGGTTTTCCCTCCACATGTAGAAAAACGCATTTAGAGAATTTGGCTGCTATAAATTTCCACGTGATGATAAGCCACAGGTCAGGCCCCACAGCTATTTAGCCCAGTGGGGCCTTACCTGGTAAAATAAACAAAAATAGTTTATAGATGGTGATGATGGTTATGATGGTTATAAACTGTATCACTGCTGCTGATGATAACGATAGCGATGATATGTGTGCTGATAATGATGATGACCATGGTGAATGTGCTGATGATGATTGTGACAATGATGAATGTGCTGATGATGATTATGACCATGATGACCATGGTGAATGTGCTGATGATGATTGTGATAATGGTGAATGTGCTGATGATGATTATGACCATGATGACCATGGTGAATGTGTTGATGATGATTATGACAATGGTGAATGTGGCTGTTGCTGATTCTGCTGATGAAGCTGCAGCAGCAGAAGCGGCGTTGTCAGCGCAGCAAGAAGAGGAGCCGTCTTTGTTACCCCCACGGGAACTCGCACGTTCACACCTCGCCCCCTCTCTGCCCCCCTCTCTGCCCCCCTCTCTCTCCCCCTCTCCCTTCTCCCTATATCTTGTCTCTCTCCCTCTCTCCCTCTCTCCCTACCTCTCTCCCTACCTCTCCCTCTCTTTTCCTCTTACCTTCTCCATATCTCCTACTTCTCCCTCTCTCTCCTGTCTCTCTCTCTCCCTGTACCCCCCCCCCCCCCCCCCCCCCACTATCATCTGATTCCTTCTCACGCGTCCACACATCCTCCCCTCATCTCTCTCTTGTCTCTCCCACTCCCCTTCCTCCACCTTCTGGCCATCTCTATCCCCCACCCTCTCCCCCTTCTCTCTTTCCTACTCTCCCTGTCTTCTCTCCATCCCTGATTCCGACCCCTCTCCCTTCATCTCTCTCCCTTCTTTCCCGTGTCTCTCTCTGCTCTGCTCTCCTGACACCTCCTCCACCTCGTCTCACATCGCGGTGAACTCTGCCATCACCTCATCAGCACGAAGCGTGCCTTCTCTGTGCTCTCTCTCCCTCTGTCTCCCGTTCTCCATGGCCTTCATCAACCTCATCCACGTTCCACTCTCTCCCTCCCTCCATCCATTATCGTCTCTCCTCGCTTTCCTCTCTCAAGTCTCTCTCCCCCTTCCCACTCTCCACCCCGCTATATCTCTCACAGAATCTCTCCCGACCATCTCCCCCATCTCTCTCCTTCTTCCTCCTGTTTTCTCTGTAGCCTCGCTCCATCTCTCTTCCCTCGCCTTCCTCTCCCCCTCGGGCCCTCTTTCTCCCTCCTCTCTCCCCCTCCCTTCTCCATCTCTATCTCCCCTCGCTCTACCCCTTCTTTCCCCCTCTCCCTTCCTCTCTCTCTTCACACTCTCATGCTGTCCTCTCCCATCGATCTGTCTCTCTCCCGTCTCCCTCCCCCTCTCCACTTCTCCCTCCCCCTCTCCCTCCCCCCTCTCCCTCCATCCCTCTCTCATCTCTCCCCCCGTCCATCTCTCTTCACAGTGAGCCCCCCCCTCTCTCTCGCGCTCTTTCCCTGATATTGTTATCGCTCATCTGCATTCTGTTCCTTATAGTTTAGTGTGGGGGGAGGGGGGTAGTGAGGTTGTGGGGGGCCGAGGGGAGGGGGGTAAATGCCAGCCCCGGAACATGGATAACACAAATCCACTCACCGTGGCTTTCCAAGTGAGAATTTTTAATGAAACTACCCGGATGAATGAACGGATGCGAGGATATAAACTCGTAGCTGAGTACATTTGTGAATGAAGGAATGATACAAGTAAAAATGCCCAAAATATTAAATCAGATTTCGCTTAAACCTTAACTGCATTCCACTTTGTGAGAATTGGACATATCAGTTTTAATTTGTCACGTTTCGAACACGCATCCACTGACTCACCATCACCACTGTTATCACTATCAACAACAACCGCCATTCGCCACTGAGTGGCGTTGACGTCACCACGTCGCTTGTGCCAGGCTAGGTGCACTTTAAGGCCACGTGATTTGTCGAACGCCCGCTGGCAGCAGGTCACTGGGCAGACCAAGGTGGTGCCATGGGTTGACTGACTGAGATGACTGGCCGATGCCCCACCTGTCACTATCACCACCACGATCACCTTCTCTGTTTGTACCACGCAGGATGTCCCGGCTAGGTGACGAGGCATCACCGCTCTCCTCCGACTTGGCCAACCGCGGCGGGGCCGGCATCCAGCAGCAGCAAACAATGGTGGGGTCAGGTCCGGCTGCTGGTGGTGGTGGGATGGGCGGGATGGGTGGTGGCGCCGGCGGTGGTGGCGCTGGCACCCGAGGAGGAGGTGGCGGAGGTGGTGGAGGAGGAGCAGGAGGGCCGGGTGGGCCTGGGCAGAGGGCCTACAAGCAGACAATGGCGCAGAGGGCCCGCTCTATGGCCCTCTACAATCCGATGCCGGCGAGGAGAGGGTGCCTCGATCCCAACCGATCACTCTTCATTCTGGGAGAAGACAACCCATTCAGGAAACTCGCCAAGCGCATCACCGAGTGGCCATATCCTTACTCGTGCTATCAGCGGCCGTGGAGGGGCTTTTATTATTATTGTTTCGACATTAAATATCTCATCAGCAGAGCGTAGGCCTGGCTTGAATCAACGCTGGTGAACTCCCCAAATGTGTACAGGGACTCCTCTACTTACGAATGAGTTAGGTTCCAGAGATCTGTTCGTAAGTCGATTTGTTCGTAAGTCCAACTTTACTCCCGTCAATTCCAAACATGTTGTACGGCATTTACACTAAACACGGGAAATGGATTTAAAAGTTGTATAATCTCCTGCAGATGTTAATGCCAATTATTCTTCACGCTCTGTAGATGTAGATGCCACCACCAGCATCTATTGCGCGGAGGTTGAATTTATGACTCTCGGTCTGGACAAGTTTGGTCGTATCTCTGAAATTTCGTAAGTCAAATATTCATAACTAGAGGAGTCCCTATATAGGCCAAGACTTGCTTGTATCAATGCTGGTGAACTGCCCAAATGTGTATAGGTCAGGACTGGTTTCGACATTCAGTGTCTCATCAGCAGAGCCAGGCTTCATAAAGAAACCTACAACGTTTTGATCGCGTGCGTTGCGATCGAAACGTGGTAGAATTTTGTTATTTTTTGTTTTTTCTTTTAACCTATCTACGTGACTTTACCGAAAGACCCAACGAATATGAATTCCTGCAGTCACGAAAGCTTTAAGTCCAGAGCTAGGCTTGGCTTGAATCAATGCTGGTGAACTGCCCAAATGTGTATAAGTCAGGACTGGTTTCGACATTCAGTTTCTCATCAGCAGAGCCAGGCTTGGCTTCAATCAATGCTGGTGAATTACCCAAATGTGTAAATGCAAACACTGTGTTCAACATTCATTGTGTCATCAGCAAAGTAATACTTTAAGGATAACGCCAAAAGTTGCCTTTCCACTCTGATAAGAGCATTTACATTAACGCATCCGTTTTTGAGTGCTTACAAAATAATTAAGTGTCAAATTAACGGTGATAATTACCCGGATGAGACAAGGGTGCGAATTACATTTAGTTTATAAAGGTCTGTGCGTGCGAGTGAAGACATCTGCGTGATTACGTGGTTGTTGAAGGCGTGCAAGTGATTAGAGCGCTGCACCTCGAACTCCGGCAACCCGAGTTTGATTCCCGCTCAGAACCAATAAAAGTGGCAGCGAACGCTCAAACCCATACAGACAGAACAGGTAGACTCCACACTCTGCTCTACCGCCTTCAACCTACCCCCCCGCCTGCCCCACGGTGATCGATCGGTGACCTCTTGACCCCACGAGGGAAGTGGCTATTGGGCGTCGTGTGTCCGAATTTAATTGCTGGGTATCAGCATCCTGTCTATGTCCGTTCATCTGTCTGGGTCTGAGCACGTGTTTGTCTATCTGTCTGTGTCTGAGCACGTATTTGCCCGTCTGTCTGTCTGTGTCTGAGCAAGTAATTGTCTGTCTGTCTGTCTGTGTCTGAGCACGTGTTTGTCTGTCTGTGTCTGAGCACGTGTTTGTCTGTCTGGTGGTCTGTGGAAGTACCTGTCGGGAGGAGCGGTGGCGTGGCGGTTAGCGCGCTGAGCTACGGCGACCCGAGATAGATTCCCGCTCACAGCAGTGACGATTATATGAACCGGTCCTAGGGTTCTCACTAGGTCGGCTCAGCCTTAAATGGAGTACTTGGTGTAGCCGTGCCGGCCTTCGTAAGTGATACTCGCGAACAGCACCTGCCTCAACAGTCTGTTTAGGCTGTATGGAGATCTTTGTCTTTGTTTGTAAGTAGGTCTATGTAAATATATGGCAGTCTTTTTGCCTGTCTATCTGTTTGTGTGTCTGTCAGAGTAACTGTTTGTACGCGAGTCCGAATATTTTCCTGTTGGTCGGTTTGTGTAAATATCTGGCTGCCTGTCTTGAGTGCGTGTCTGTGTGCGTGTCTGTGTGCGTGTCTGTGTGCGTGTTTGTCTGTCTCCCTGCTGGTCTGTCTGCCTGCCTGATGTGTACGGGTTTGTACATCTGTTTGTCTCTCTGTTTGCGTGTTTATCTAGCCCGAGATATTAATGCGTTGGTGTTTGCATTGTCCTTGTACTGTTCGCCTTGAGGCGGCCTTTAGCGTCTAGCGCCGGTGAGACAAAGCCATGAATGAGGTGTCTATTTGGAATTTGAACATCTTAGCACGTCCTGTATTAATGCCAGAAAGGGTAAAGCCTATTTTTTAAAAACCATAATTCAATATCTTTATACTGACGAAATGGTTCCACAGATAAATATATGCCCGTCGATTTAAATATTCTTCTGCCTTCTAGTCTCTGTCTAAGTCTCAGATTGTCTGTCTGGATGATGCACTGACTATCTGTCTGTCACCGACCCTGCCAGCCAGACACCCTCAACCAACAAGAGGGTGTTAACTACCTTGCCTGGTATTCAGGAGGTCATGGATTCGATCCCAACCCTGACACCTGTATATTTAGAGTTTTGCATGTTCTCTCTGGGTCCTCCGATTTTTCCTTCCGCATTTTTTATCAACGTGCATTCAGAGTATATTGCTGCTATGAATTTCCATGTTGAGCCTTCATTTGTGGCCAGGTCGCTTTTGAAAAAGAGATAGGTAGCTCAGTGGGCCTTACAGCTGGTAAAATAAAAATACAAGTTTAGTTTAGATCCCAAAACGCAAACTCCATCTCTGAACGGATGGCAACGATGGTATCGTGTGCAGCGGGGCAGTGGGCGGTTGGTTGGTGGATATGTCCTCTCATTCTCTGCCCTTGACTCGTCCGTCGTTCCGGGGATCACGCCGTTCGAATGGATGATCCTGACGACGATCATCGCCAACTGCATAGTGCTGGCGCTGGAGCAGCATCTTCCCGACGAGGACAAGACGCCACTGTCCAAGAAGCTGGTAAGGGACATCGCGTGGGCCCACACGTAGGCACACCGCAAACCGTGCATGTGTGGACACGGGAAGACAAAGGTCCCCTGTTGTAGCCTGTAACCGATTGTTAGAAGCAAGGGCTGTTAAGCGAGCAGCACCTATGAAGGCTGGCACGGCGCGTGAAGTGGTGGTTGGCCAGCGCCACACCTGGCCGCCTTTGTCTGGCGACGTTTACACATCGCGCCCGGTACTCATTTGAGGCGGAGTCGACCTGAGGGAGGCCCAGGACCGGTTCACATAATCGTCACCGGTGTTGGCTGTGGGCGGGAATCGAACTTTGGTCGCCGGGTACGTAGCGCAGCGACACAAACGTACACACACGGACACGCACATGAACACACACCGACACACACACATGCACACGCGGACACACACGAACACACACGCGGACACAAGCACACACACGCGGACACGTACACACAGGCACGCACACACACACACACGTGAATACACATGCGCGCGCTCGCGTCGTCAACGCTGGAACGGGGCTGCGCGCCGTTCTCGCTCCACCGCTCCGGACCCCGCGATCTCGGAGCGAGCGTGAGCGGCGACTCGGCCTCGGCAATTGAAAATTTGCATGATTCGTGTGGAGGCCGTTTTCACTGCCGCTGCGCTCTTTGCCTCTCCTCCGCGCGGTTCTGTCACTCATAGATCCTTCCCCCCCGCATCCCGCACCCCGCCACCACCACCACCCCCCCCCCCCGCCCGCTGGCCACCCAAAAAAAATGAACAAAAAAATCCACACGCAGCCGCCGGCACGTTCCATTTAACAGCCACCACCAGAAACCGCGAGATTTCTGTGCGTCTTTTTTTGTTCGTTGCCCTCCTGTCTGCCCGTTCGTCCACCCGTTCGTCCGTCCGTGTGAGCACGGCTGTTACGCAATCGTCAGCGTTGCAACACGCGCGGCAAGAGATTGGCGACTGCTTGTCTCTCGTAACTGTCAGAGGTGATTCTGGCTGTCGCCGCAAAGTGCTACCACGAATCCCTACCACCCCCCCCCACTGACCTCCCCCCTCCGCCGCTGATCCTACCCATCCCCATAGCCCAACTGCCACAACGCTCCCCGCTGCCCAAACCAACCCAGCCTCGTGTCACGGGGGGTGGGCGCAGTGGTTCGGAAGTGGTGGGGCCTAACCGGGAAAGGGTGCGGTCTAAGGAGTAAGGGGGTAGGACCTAAACAGGAAGTGGTGGGGCCTAAAGAGGAAGTGGTGCGGCCTAAAGAGGTTCAACTTCCCTGCTGTTGAGTTAAAGCAACACAAGCAGCAGCATCGGAGGTTTCGTGCTACAGACGGGGCAACAGGCCAACTAGTATAATCGATTTGCGTCTTTGAAAAAATGATGAGTTAAATTAATAAAATAGCGAGTACAAATTGTACTAATTAGCTAATAAATAATTTCAGTACAAATCATGAATTTAACAAAAATATACCCTTTAATGCAATTGTTGACCTTTACTGCAGGCGTACACTCCTTTGGTTCTCATTCGTTAAAAACTTTATAATGTTAATAAATACACAGGGTTTGATGAAACAAAGTAAGCTGTAACTTAAAGTGCCCGTGCTTCATTGGTGTTTTCGATTATTTACCTTATAAAAAAATCTGGCCATGTCTCACACCCCCTGGAAAGGTCATCTCGTACCCCCAGCAGGTGCGTGCACCCCAGATTATGATGAACCACTGCCTTAATGAATACGTTGTAAATACATTATTTTTCAATAACACTGACTCTGGAGACTATCTGAATCGGATCGAGCCTCCCGTAAGCCACGTGGTGTCTGCGTGGCCACCCCACTCTGAATCCCTCCCCTCGCATCTCTGTCTGCATCTAGATCAGCTCACAGGTACAACAGTTTTATTTTGTATTGGGTGCAATTGTGAACAGCAGCCATATCGGACATTAGTACATCTGATCAGCATAATCATTGGGTTCACTGCAGCTCAAAGAATCTACAAGGCATGTGGCGACGTTAGGAGATACCCCTTGTGTGCGTGTGCTGGGCAATTCGAAGGCCTGAAGACCATAATTGGTGATTTTACCGACATCAGGGAGGTGGTTTCCATATCCACAGAGTAGAGTGAAGAAGAATAAGAAGCGAGCTCCTGCCCAGGGAGTCAGGAACCTCCTGCCCAGGGAGTCAGGGAGCTCCTGCCCAGGGCGCTCCTGTCCAGGGAGTCAGGGAGCTCCTGTCCAGGGAGCTCCTGTCCAGGGAGCTCCTGTGCAGGGAGCTCCTGTCCAGGGAGCTCCTGTCCAGGGAGTCAGGGAGCTCCTGTCCAGGGAGCTTCTGTCCCAGGGAGCTTCTGGCCAGGGAGCTTCTGTCTCAGGGAGCAATATTCTGGCAACTGAGTGGGGAGGGGGCAAGGGTGCGGCTTGGCAGTGGTCGTGCATAAGCTTGTGGCACGGCATCTTTCGTATGGGGGTGCTCGTGTGGCCTGAAGGTCTGTGGGGGGCGAAGGGGGGCGGTAGTTGGTGTGCATTTTGTACCAGGGACTGTGACAGCAGTTGCTCGATGTTATCATTAAAACACAAGTTGGCCAGGTCACTTCCGAAAGAGAGCTACGTAGCTCAGTGGGGCCTTACATCTAGTAAAATAAAAGTAATTTAGTTTTAGACTGAGATGCTACCACCCTTGAGGATCACGTTGATGAGGGTGGCGATGATGATGGCAAATATAATGGCAACGATGGTGATGTGACTTTGACTCTCTCGCTCTCTTCGTATGTATGTGTGTAAGTTGATTTTCTTTCGCATCGCAGGTAGCCAACCGTGCTAATCGGAGGTGCAGTGTTTAGTCTATGGGCAGTGTTTAGTCTATGGACAGTGTTGAGTCTATGGGCAGTGTTGAGTCTATGGGCAGTGTTGAGTCTATGGACAGTGTTGAGTCTATGGGCAGTGTTGAGTCTATGGGCAGTGTTGAGTCTATGGGTAGTCATCTTCTTTGGTTCTTTCGGTAAAGTCACGTAGAATGAGAATAAAATAATAAATTGATAAAATAAAATAACACAATAATAATAAGTGTTATTTTATTTTATCAATTTATTATTTTATTCTCATTCTACGTGACTTTACCGAAAGAACCAAAGAAGATGAATCATTGCAGTCACGAAAGCTTTAAATCGAAATCTATGGGTAGTGTTGAGTCTATGGGTAGTGTTACTCTGTGGACAGTGTTGAGTCTATGGGCGGTGTTGAGTCTATGGGTCGTGTTGAGTCTATGGGTAGTGTTGAGTCTATGGGCAGTGTTGCGTCTATGGGCAGTGTTGAGTCTACGGGCAGTGTTGAGTCTACGGGTAGTGTTGAGTCTATGGGTAGTGTTACTCTGTGGACAGTGTTGAGTCTATGGGTAGTGTTGAGTCTATGGGTAGTTCATATTCTTAGTTTTTTCGGTAAAGTCACGTTGAAGGGAAACAACAAAATAATAAAATATATATAAAACAATAAAAAAATTCTCACGACGTTTCGACCATAACTCAAACGGTCGTCTTCAGGTGTGTTGGTTTGCATAAATTTATTTTTAAACGGCGCATTTATTTATAAATAAATAAATGCGCCGTTTAAAAATAAATTTATGCAAACCAACACACCTGAAGACGACCGTTATTTTTAAACGGCGCATTTATTTATAAATAAATAAATGCGCCGTTTAAAAATAAATTATGCAAACCAACACACCTGAAGATGACCGTTTGAGTTATGGTCGAAACGTCGTGAGAATTTTTTATTGTTTTATATATATTTTATTATTTGTTGTTTCCCTTCAACGTGACTTACCGAAAAAACTAAGAATATGAATTACTGCAGTCACGAAAGCTTTAAATCAAAATTCTATGGGTAGTGTTGAGTCTATGGGTAGTGTTGAGTCTATGGGTAGTGTTGAGTCTATGGGTAGTGTTGAGTCCTATGGGTAGTGTTGAGTCTATGGGTAGTGTTACTCTGTGGACAGTGTTGAGTCTATGGGCGGTGAGGAGTCTATGGGTAGTGTTGAGTTTATGGGCAGTGTTGAGTCTATGGGCAGTGTTGAGTGTATGGGCAGTGTTGAGTCTACGGGCAGTGTTGAGTCTATGGGTAGTGTTGAGTCTATGGGTAGTGTTACTCTGTAGACAGTGTTGAATCTATGGGCGGTGTTGAGTCTATGGGTAGTGTTCAGTCTATGGGTAGTGTTGAGTCCTATGGGCAGTGTTGAGTCTATGGCAGTGTTGAGTCTATGGGTAGTGTTGAGTCTATGGGTAGTGTTGAGTCTATTGGCAGTGTTGAGTCTATGGGCAGTGTTGAGTCTGTGGGTAGTGTTGAGTCTATGGGTAGTTCTAGATTTAAAGCTTTCGTGACTGCAAGGATCCATACTCTTTGGTTCTATTCGGTAAAGTCACGTAGGTAAAAAATAAAACAACAAAAATCACGACGTTTCGGCCCACAACACAAGCGGCCTTCATCAGGTGAAGGGATCAGGCTGTCTCGAGGACAGCGCTGGAGTGAAACAAGGTTCTTTGCAAACCCACGGGTTTTCATCAGAGATTTGTTCACAAGGCAATTCAGATCTACAAACACAGACACAATTTCAACCGAGAAGATGGTTTCAAATTAAGCAACCATTGGAAAGATGTTCTAAATCGAACTAAACATTAAACTAATTTTCAATGGTACAGTATATTTTTTAAGTAGTGGTACCCCAAACTTTCGCAGCTCTTTAAAAATTCCTTTTCACACCATCAATAGGTAAACTCCCCCCCCCCCCCCCCCGCGCCAAACGGCAAGTCCACCCGCACGTACACCACCTCTATGCTAAGTCGGCCAATCAAATGCTAATTTTTATGCTAATTCCTTTGTCAAGGCACCTTGTTTCCTCGCACACAGCTTAAAGGTCCGTGGTTTGAGCGTGGCTGTGTTTCACTCCAGCGCTGTCCTCGAGACAGCTGATCCTTCACCTGATGAAGGCCGCTTGTGTTGTGGCCGAAACGTCGTGATTTTTGTTGTTTTATTTTTTACCTACGTGACTTACCGAATAGAACCAAAGAGTATCTATGGGTAGTGTTGAGTCTATGGGTAGTTTTGAGTCTGCAGGCAGTGTTGAGTCTATGGGCAGTGTTGAGTCTATGGGTAGTGTTGAGTCTATGGGTAGTGTTGAGTCTATGGGCAGTGTTGAGTCTATGGGCAGTGTTGAGTCTGTGGGTAGTGTTGAGTCTGTGGGTAGTGTTGAGTCTATGGGCAGTGTTGGGTCTGTGGGTAGTGTTGAGTCTATGGGTAGTGTTGAGTCTATGGGTAGTGTTGAGTCTATCGGTAGTGTTGAGTCTATGGGTAGTGTTGAGTCTATGGGCAGTGTTGAGTCTGTGGGTAGTGTTGAGTCTGTGGGTAGTGTTGAGTCTATGGGCAGTGTTGAGTCTGTGGGTAGTGTTGAGTCTATGGGTAGTGTTGAGTCTATTGGTAGTGTTGAGTCTATCGGTAGTGTTGAGTCTATGGGTAGTGTTGAGTCTATGGGCAGTGTTGAGTCTATGGGAAGTGTTGAGTCTATGGGTAGTGTTGAGTCTATGGGTAGTGTTGAGTCTATGGGTAGTGTTGAGTCTATGGGAAGTGTTGAGTCTATGGGTAGTGTTGAGTCTATGGGTAGTGTTGAGTCTATGGGTAGTGTTAGTCTGTGGGCAGTGTTGAGTCTATGGGTAGTGTTGAGTCTATGGGTAGTGTTGAGTCTATGGGCAGTGTTGAGTCTATGGGTAGTGTTGAGTCTATGGGAAGTGTTGAGTCTATGGGTAGTGTTGAGTCTATGGGTAGTGTTGAGTCTATGGGTAGTGTTAGTCTGTGGGCAGTATGTATGTACGTATGTGGAACTTCTTTCCCACCGTACGTAGCCAACCGTGCTAATCAGAGGTGCAATTAGCACAGTGACAATGATGATGATGGCGATGGCTATGATGATGACAACAATGGTGACTGGCTTTCTCTTGCTCTGTCTCTCCTTCCCCCTTCCCCTTCTCTCCATCTCCCACGGCGTCTGCAGGAGGAGACAGAGCCATACTTCATCGCCATCTTCTGCTTCGAGGCGGGCATCAAGATCCTGGCGCTGGGCTTCCTGCTGCACAAGGGCTCTTACCTGCGCAACGGATGGAACGTGATGGACTTCGTGGTCGTCGTTACCGGGTAGGGGATGCGTTGGGGCCAGGGAAAGAAGGAAAAAAACTAACAACCCGGCGGTGTTCCCTGGCTGTTGTTGTGGGTATCCGTGTTGTGGTGGGGGTCTGTGTTGGGGCGGCGACCTGATGGCATTGTCCCGGTAACCTGGGTGTTGTGGTGGGATCCGTGTTGAGGTGGGGGTCTGTGTTGGGGTTGGTAATCCTACTGGAGATGACATGGAGTCCTTGTTGTAAATGTGTTAGATTTTTAATTGGGTCAAGGTGGATCCTGCGTTGTGGTCGTCCCCTACGTTGTGGTCGTCCCCTACGTTGTAGTCGCCTCCTGTGTTTTGGTCGCCTCCTGTGTTTTGGTTGCCCCCTACGTTGTGGTCGCCCCCCTCAACACTGCATCTCCGATGAGCACAATTGGCTATGTACGGAGCGAAAGAAGTTCAACGTAGTACGTGCATGCACGCAAGGAGAGCTGAACCTTTGTTAAACAGCTGATGGTGGTGTCGTATTCAGTTCAGCGAAACGTCGTTTTTAAACATGACTCCTCCAGGTTTTTTTGCTGATGAGCTAAAATCAATCGGCACATTCGCCCACGGTGTTACAACTGGATTTTAATTATCTCTGCCGCTGGGTGGTGGAGGGCTTCTCGTGCCAACAACAACAAAATAATAATGACATTATACCCACATGTCGATCTCACCCAAACAGAAACTAATTATGAATCATGATGTGTATATGTATTATTCACAGTAGAGTTTTTTTGGGTTCGATCGCGTAAATATAAATGTGCCGTTAAAACCGACACTGTCCGATGCAGCCAATTAAGTGAGGGTTTGTCACGTAACAAAACGTGGCCAATTCGTTACAAGTTCAGCACTAACCGGTTGTGTGTTGGGGGGGGGTTAATATATGCATATAAATTACAATGGATATCCATTACCGGTTGGGTTATTCGTAGGGTGATCAGCATACATGTATCTTGTCGTGGCAGCCTAAGTATTAACTTAGGTCATGTGCTGCGTACATCGGCTTAGCTGCGCAGGGACAGCTGCCACTCGGGGTTGCCACTTCGCCACACGATCTGAGCATCCCGTGGGCATCCTCGTTGGCACGAGTTTGGCCGTCGCATGCCGCAGGCATCGGGTACACATTTGACATTTGCAAAAAATTGAAGGTAGAAGAATATTATTATTATTGTCTGCTCGCTCCTGTGACTACTGTCGGAATCTGAATAGTTTTGTTTGCGCTGGAGGAATCCGATGAGCCGTGAAGCACTTTGTTTTGGCACAGATGTCCGGTAGCGCTAAGCATCTCCCCGTGTCACGCGCGAGAGAGGGGTCAGGGGTCACGTACAGTACGGCAGTGACCTTGCCGGGCGCCGAGGTCGCGGAATTTCGTCTCCTCTCACCCGGAGAGAAGGGGCGACTCGCTGGATCTGCAGTAGATGGAGGGTTGCCAACTGTCCCGGACTTTGCCGGAAGACCTCGGCGGGAATTGGCACCCCCCTGCACCCCTGCCCCCCCGGTGACAATTGAAAGCAGTCGTCGAAATTTTAAAAATCGGATAGATTTGAAAAAGTAATGAAAGATATTTCCCAGAATAGTTGGCTGCCCGATGATGAATCCGAGCACGCGCGTCCGCTCTCAGCAGTCACATGGGACTCCGCCGCGGTGCATCGGTTAGCATGCCAGTATGGTGATAAACAACTCCTACCCTTCCCCCATATGACTGACAAGCTGTGGGAGAAGCCGTCGTCCAGCAGTGGATTTATACAGAAACCTACAGACTCGCACAGAGACCCACAGACTCACACAGAGACCCACAGACTCACACAAAGACCCACAGACTTACACAGAGACCCACAGACTTACACAGAGACCCACAGACTCACACAAAGACCCACAGACTTACACAGAGACCCACAGACTTGCACAGAGACCTACAGACTTACACAGAGACCCACAGACTCACACAAAGACCCACAGACTTACACAGAGACACACAGACTTGCACAGAGACCTACAGCAGCGGGCTACACGTGGGGACATCCTTGGTATGTGGTGGGGTAGTGGTGGGGGCGTTGTGGGGGGGGGGGTTGTGGTGGGGGGGTTGTGGTGGTGGGGTGGTGGTGGGGCGTTGTGGGGAGGTGGTACGGGATTGTGGAGGGGTGGTGGGGGGGGGGGTTGTAATGGGGGGGGTTGTGGTGGGGGGGTTGTGGTGAGGTATTGCTGGGGGGGAGGCGATCTGCGTCACGTGAGCATGAGACAATGGAGGCCGAAATTTTCTTCATCGCTCGGCGAGGTGCGGCTGACTCAGTCGCTCTCTCACAATTTCATCTCTCTCACTGTTTCTCTCTCTCACTGTTTCACTCTCTCACTCACTTGCGCCCTCTCTTTCACTCTCACACTCACTCCACTCTCTCTCTCTCTCGCAAAAATAGCGTTTAGCGAGCTGGCAAGCACCAATGTGGCCCTATTAGGTGATTAGAACGATGTGGTCCGTCCCTTCGTCTCACGCTTCCGCTTGCTTGCGATTTTAGTTTTAGGCCGTCCGTGTGGGTGTGTCTTTACATCTGTCCGTGTGTCTGTCCGTCTGCCCGCCCGTATGTTTGCCCATGTGTCCGTCCGGGTGTGCGTGTGTCCGTCCGTCTGCCCGCCCGTATGTTTGCCCATGTGTCCGTCCGGGTGTGCGTGTGTCCGTCCGTCTGCCCGCCCGTATGTTTGCCCATGTGTCCGTCCGGGTGTGCGTGTGTCCGTCCGTCTGCCCGCCCGTATGTTTGCCCATGTGTCCGTCCGGGTGTGCGTGTGCATCCTGCGTGGTCCGTCCGCAACCTCGCTCGCCGGGAGGAGAGGCGGCTCAGCGCAGTGCGGACTAAAATCTTCTGTTCCTTCTGCGTGGGATAGACTATTAGACTCTCGAGCGACGATTCACTCGTCGCGCGCGGTGCGTTTTCTGCGGCCACCCCGGTTTCCTCCCGCACATAATATACAACAACAACCATTGAATGTGTAATGCATGAAGAGCAGGAGACAAAAACAGAACCAGGGGGCAACCGACCGAAACTCGAGAGGCAAGGCAAAGAGATGGAGTTTCAAAGCGGACTTGAATCTACAGACTCTGATTGCCCTGATTGCAAGTGGCAAGGCGATCCGTGCTTTCGGTGCCATGCTAACAAACGCCCGGTCACTAAAAGAGTGCATCCTAGACCCTGGGAATGCGAGCAGTTGGAGATCAGAAGATCTTAAGGACCTTGATGGAATATATACAGAGGGCTGCAGAGCTTGGGGGAATGGTTGATAGCGCCGGCTTGCCGCACGGCTGCTGCTGCTGCTGCTGCCTTTCCACTTGTCTCCTCAGCGATTGTGAGATATGCAATTTGTACAGACGGCCATGCTATATATGAAACAATACAACATTATATCATAATTTTGATTTAAAGCTTTCGTGACTGCAGGGATTCATATTCTTGGTTCTTTCGGTAAAGTCACGTAGAAGGGAAACAATAAAATAATAAAAATATAAAATAATAAAATTATCACGACGTTTCGACTGCAACACAAGCAGTCATCATCAGTTGTGAAAACCACAACAAGAAAATTTGAAAAAAGTGGCGTTTTTTTTAATGTTAGCACCACGGATAGCGATTTGACAGTTTGTTCAGATGGACGAGTCCATCTATGTTCGGAAAAGAGGAGGGGGGAGACGAAAAATAATGGATGCGGTCTGAAAGCCACCTAAGCGTGATCATTCAATTAAGACCCGAAATGGTTTCTCAAATCCTTCCAATGATTGCTAAGCCAGAATCCATCTTCTGGGTTGAAATTGTCTCTGTGTTTGTATATGTGGATAGCCTCATGAGCGAATCTCTCATGGTAGCCAGATGGCTTGCAAAGAACCTCTGTCTTGGAGAAGTCAATGTTATGTGAACCTACTGAATTATAACAGTGATCTGCCACTGCCGAGGTGTTGGTCCTACCGTTTTTCAGGTCTGCTTTGTGTTCACGAATGCGGTCCGAGACATGTCATTTGGTTTCTCCAATTTAAATACTACCACAGAGGCAACTTAGTTTGTAGACGCCAGGGTACTGTATGTCCGGAATCACATCTTTTACAGACGGAACCAGATCACGGATTTTATGTAATGTGTTGAATCGGACCTGGATCTTGTGTTTATTCAAGATTTGTAGATCTTTTTGTGATGTAGGGTAAAGTGATGGTTTTGAAAGGCACCTCAGTGGGTTTCTCAAATAACATCATTGTTATTTGAGAACCCACTTTAATTCGGTTGTGCACCTGGAACCCAGATTGGAACCCAGGCTGTGTCAGCTGTGCAGACTCAGTGTATCTGCTGCTGCTTGTTGTTGCTGCAGCAGTTGTTGGTGGTGTCAACGGCAGTGGTGATGGCTGTTCATGTCCGGCCCATTTGCCGACTGGCGCTTTTTCCGGGACAAAACTGCCGCGGGGAATCACGTGGCTTGGGGGGTGTCATAACTTATTACGTGTCCGTCGTCTCTCGTGCCGAACAAAAAAAGGAAAGGCCCGCAGGTGATGGCGACAGGTGGGCAGGATGAGAGTCCCGACAAGTATCCTTTTTGTTTCCATAGGGGCGTCGTAACAATAGCGAGTTCGTCACGGCAACTATCATTGTGATTATGCACAGAGGTGGTGGCGGGCAGGGAGCGGTGGTGCAGCGGTTAGGGCTTTGCGCTACGAGCCCGGCCTACGCAGGGTTTGATTCCCAGGTCCACGGCAAACACCAGTCGTGAGTGATCTCACCTGAAACTGTCCCGGCCATCACCTCAAGGGTGCTGAGCAGCGTGGTGAAGTACGGTCAAAACAACCCTGATGCCCGACAAGTCAGGGGGGGAGGCATGAATATCCAGCAGTGGATTGGCATTGATAATGCATTATTATTATTACTACTACAATTAAACATTTAACCTGCCCTGGTACAAGCCTGGGAAGGAGTCAAACCATAGAGGAGGAAGTGGTGATGATAATGAGAGAGGAGGGAGG